TATATATATTCACATGCTTATAGGTACCATTCTGTAAAACAAAATAAAATGACTGTGGAATGACTTGAAACTTTAAAATGCTGTAATTAACAAACTACAGGTGCTTGGTTCCAGGTATTTAGAGATTCACTTCCATACAGAAAGCACATATTCTTACCTTCAGCTACCACAGTATACTTGTCATTAAATAATACTACTTATATTTCAGCATTAGTATCAAGGTGTTACGTTATTGTATATCTTGTACCATGTCTGTTTTTTGTTCTGTTCTTTTTACATCTCTTTGCAGGTGATGAAGCAGACTGAAGTTTATTTTTTTCTTATCGTTATCTCTCTTTTATCTCCTCTTTCTTTCTTCTTTTCTAATTTTTTTTTCTGTTTTTCCTTTCTTGCTCTCTTTAAATTGCAGTGTCCATATAATCTCTAATACTCCCTGCATGAATTATAATAAAGCTATTTATTTGCATTAATCAAGCGGAACGCTATGGCGATGGTCGTACTGCTCCACTTGTGAAAGTAAAATCTGTTGGGCTCTTTTTGGCATCAAGATAATTATTCTTATTGCCACATTTCCAGACAGGACACTGTTTAAAAAACAAAACAAAAACAAAAAAATGCTGTAATTACAAATTTTGTATCCGAATGCAAAGATTCAGAGAAAGTATTCAAACCCTTATTTCACATTTTACAAACTGGAACCTTTGCTTTATTGGGATTTTATTAGAAGCCAACACAGAACTGTCTGCTGCCACTGTTTGTCACTGTTGGGCTGGTACTGTATCTCCAGCAGTCTAGACAGATTATCAGTCTGTCACAGGGCAAAGACATACTGTACAGACCTAAGGGCAATTTATAGTCACCAATTTATCTAACAGTAATTTTTTTGAGCTTTTGGGAATCAAGCCCAAAATGTTTTTGCCACAAACTGCACCACCAAGCCCAAATCTTATTAAAAAAATTGTATTGATTTCAATTTAATTTAATAATACAAATAAGAATAATTACAATAAAAATAACAAACATTTAATTTCATTACCTTTATTTTTGATGTAAATGACCTAAATTAATCTGGGACAGACCTAGATCTTGATCAGTATACTATGCAGGCACCTGCAGCAGAAAACATATTTGTGTTACTTTTTCCCAAATGACAGTCGCAGGTTTGTGACACAGATATAGTTGATACAACAAGCTACACCTGTCTGATAGTCAAGCTGAGGTTTTATGTAAACCCATCCAGAAAACCACAGAAGTCCTCCTTGTAGACGAGAATCTGCATTCATACAATTCACTGTTTAGCAATTTAACTTCATGAACAGGTTTTCCCTAAAGTTTGCTTTACCAAACAGTTACTTAAATGTAATGCAACAATAAAGTCATTTAGTGTTGGCTTGATTGCTGCAGACATGTGATTATGGAGTGCAGATGTTGGTGATCTTCCACTCCTGTGAGCGTTGTCGTACTGATCAATAAACCTCGGGACAGCTGGAGCAGAGGCCGTCAGCTCTCTGCATTCTTTTGCATCAACCCTTCCCCCCAACTGTGCCTTCCCTGTGGTTCAGCTGGGAGACCATGTCCCACCATTCATCTGTGTGAGAAGTCACAGCTCCCTGCCCCCTACTCCATCACTTAATCAGATAGATGGCTAACTTTGGACTTTTTTCCTACCTGCAGCATTTTAAAGGACCTAGTTTAGGACTGATATATATTCCTGCACCATGATACTTGATGCTTTGCCCCGGCATAAGAGACTCCTGCAAACAACAAAAGTCTTAATGCAGTAAAAGCATTAGTTGCAGCTTTCTTTTGTTCTGCAGCCAAAGGTACCCCCACCCTCCTCGCAGATCCTCCACAAGAGAGATTGAAAAGAAACACCTGTAACTATTAGTGAGCCCTATTGTTACAAACTCAGCTACTCCTGTGAGGATTCAAAAAGGAAAATATGCAGTTTATATATATATATGTTATAATATATGACTAGTTTATTATTATTGAATAAACTCTTACTTTGAAATATATGAAAATAATATAATGAAGCATGATAGAAGAGACAAAAAAACACATTTAAAGCAAAACTAATTTTAAACATAGATTAAGTTGCTTGTGGTTGAGATGCTGCAGGAATTATTCAGCAAGCTTTCAGGGAGGCACAATAAACAGTTTTTGCGACATTAATTATTTATCAATGAATTTATTGTTGCTTTTAAAGCCTGCATCTGTTGAAATGTGAATTTTAAATTTAACTCAAAGTTGAATTAAGATGGAGATGATTTCAAAAAGACTTCTGAAAATCTTAACAATCTGGTCATTTACATGGCAATATGACCTTTTCTGTTTTAGCCCACTACAGCCACAAACCTTAATACATTTGTTCTAATTTAACAGAATAAACAAATGCAAAGAAATGAACACTTTTCTAAAATTAAACTAATTTGTTGAAAGAGATGAAATAAAAATCTGACAAGTGTAGCACACATTTGTATTCAGGCCCTAAATAAAATCCACTGCAACCAGTCGCCTTCAGTAGTCTGTAATTTAATCTCAGTATTAATCCAGCTGTTTGGTGTAGAAGACTCAGAAGTCTGTTAAAGAACACAAGTAAAGATAAAAACCTCCCTAAGCTTTGAAAACCTTTCTTCAAAGCTCTGATTCCTGTTTAATCCAATCAGAAATGGGAAAGTATTGTAGAAAGCAGACCAATCTGGGTGGGGCAAAGAGAGTGTTATGTAGAGAGCAGCTGTAATGTTGGGAGAAGCTTTTGATATGACAATGCTAAAACTATAACCATTGACCTGTCTTTGCTCTGTGTTATCAAGTAGATGCCTGAGGACCAGGAGAGAAGCAAGCAGACGGTTAATGTTACATCAGAAAGCTGTTACTTCAGTTGAATACAAGCACAATCCAAACAGAAGCAGGCTTGCACGTACACACGGCTGCACAATCACATGCCCTACTTGCTCTTTAACCTCAAAAACCAAGTCTTCCACTTTGATATCTCCTTCTGTGTACAGTTGGTCGCATCAAACACAGATGTCCTTGAAATACACATGTACTGTCTTAACGCCAGTGCATTCTCTGCAAATCCTGCCTGGAAACTGGAATAGGGGAATTTCATTTGCTCCAACTGGACTTGTTCCATAGCAACTGTGTCCTGAAAGCAAACCAGTTAGTTGAGATTGAATGGTTACAATTTTTAAGAAGAATTATCTGAATAGTTTCTTTTTTCTATGGGTAATATAAGCTTAATTCTCAAGATGTTTGTCGATTGTGATTTTGACATTTTAATGAGCTTTAAATGGACGGCGTGCATCCCTTTAAAGTCTAATTTGTCTTGTTATTAGCAAAATCAAGTATTGCTTTCATACATATATATTCTGCCAAAGTCTAATAACAGTCAAATAACAACTGAAATCATTCCCATAGCTTTTAAGGAGTAATATATAAATACATAGGTGGCAGGGCACCCAATGAAATCCATGTTTTGCCAGTGTTTATTGTAGTAGCCCAAAGGGAACAAACTTGTTAGCCCTATATATTGCATCTGCATATGAAAAGATGTTGTAGTGAGGATAAATAATGCAAAGAGGACTGAATCCCTCTACTAA